AGATATATATATATATATATATATAGTGGGGTGATCGAATGGGAAGAAGGGGGATGAAAAGAATGCACGATGACTCGTTGGAGGGACGGGGTGATTATTATTTTTTTTATCTCTCGAAAACGCAGGAGCGAGGGCGGGACTCGAGTGGTTTTCGGCTTCAGGATGATTGTTCTGAATAGCTAGGTGACGTGTCGCGGAATTTCGTATGGAAAAGGGTGGGTGTGGATATCCGTTGGGATTTTCGGTTCGATTGATCGAGGAATAATTTTAAGAAGGTGAAACTTGAAGTTTTTACAACGTAGGCGGTGGTCCTCGATTCTTCTCTTTAAACTTGTTCTTTTTGATTTGAATCATTGAAATTGTTGACAGTGAAAACAATAAATGGGAAAATAAAATAATCTGTTTACAAAATATTTAAAGTATATGGATACCAATTTCAGTGAACTTTAAATTCTGTAACAGAAATATCTTTTGAATACAAGAAAGAATTATAGATATGAATTGTTCGAAGTGTATCTTATTAATCGAAATTTATTGCCACTTGTAGCTTTATAGCCCCCAAGTTCAATCGAGGAGTCGTTTGTTGAAAAGAATGACGATGATCGATCAAAGCAAGATTCGAGAAATAAATACGAATATCTCTGTAACTTTCGATTTATATACGGAAGATCAACTGGTTTTTCTTTTCTTTTCTTTCCTTTTTCCCTTTTCAAACTTGGCTCAAAGAAAACCCTTAACTTCCTCATGAAAGTAAAAAATTATGATCGATTGGACGAACCCACTTCTCGGGATGGAAGGGGCGATACGATAACCACGATCATTATAAAATCATCCGATAAATGAAAAATATTGAAAAGAAGTGCAAAACTTTTAAATATTTAAACGTGAAATCTTTCACGCGAAAAGAAGCATATCGATATCCTACAACATATCAATTATGATGAAAATTTCGTTCAAACGTATATCCAATTAAGATGTATCTTATTAATCCAAATTTATTGTAACCCCCAAGCTCAATCGAGGAGTCGCTTAATCGTTGAGAAAGATGACGATCGATCGATCGAAGATTCGAGAAATAAAAACGGTTTCACGAATATCTCTGTAACGATTCGTTCTTTAAGATCGATTCTCGACTCGAGTTTCCAACGATTTATCGTCGTATTATCGTATTCAGTGCTCTCAACAAGTCGATTTCGAGTCTATATACCGGAACAACGAAGGACTCGCGATAATGTCGCGTAAACGGAACAAATAGCGAGGCGTGGCGATTAATAACGCGAAACCGGCGTGGAAATCTCGGACAGATTGATTCTTCGCGCGGCACGATACGATCGTTCCGGCGCGCGCCTTGATAAATGACGTGACAACGAGCCGTGGCGGGGCCCAGTTGTACCCTTTTTATCTTCTCCCCTCCCCCTTTTCGCCCGAGAAAAATATTACTCTTTTTCTCCTTTCTTTTTCTTTTTTAACCGGCACGGCATGACGAATCGACTGGCCACGCTCCAACGGCGTTTGCCCGGTTAAAAACTTAATGAAATAAGCCGCGTCGAATCTTTGTCAGGAACTCGTTGACTCATCCTTTCGTTTCGAGAAGATTGTTGCCGTACGATTGAGTTGAATCGAGACGCGAGAATAATTCACTGTTTTGTATTCGATTCGATTATACGGTAAATTATTAATTGCGACTTTTACGATGGAGCTTTTTATTTCAATTTCTCCAATTTGATTTTTATGATTTAATTTTTTTTTTAAGGGTGACTATGCGTAGTAATAAGTGGAAGAATGGAAAAGAATATCCATTTCTCTTATTTTTAATATACATAAAAATTCACGATCTTTCTTAAAATCGTAAAATAACAACTTTCTCCAAAAATTTTCGATAATTTCGAACAAAGGATTAATTAACCATTTTATCCCACCGAAAAAGAAAGCTATCTTCGTCTATCGATGCGAAAGGTGAGCGAGGGAGAGAGGAAGAGCGAGAGAGAAAGGAGAAGAGAAAGAAGGCCTGGCACGCCGGAAGTGGTCCGCCCCACCACGAAAACGAGCCTTTATACGCCGGTTACTGGCTGTGGCGGCGATATAAAATTCAAAGCCACCACCAAGTGGCACCCTCCACGCTAACGACAGCGCCGCCCCTGAGCATCAGTATGCTAATCCGATGATTGGCTATGTTCCAACCCCGTTCGCTCTCCTCCTCTCTCTCTCTCTCTCTCTCTCGTCGCCACGACTCCATCTCCTGGTTCTCTGCGGCTTCCTGATGGGATCCGGCCACCCTTAACCGAAACCATAAGCCAAAACTAACCCTTATTCTAATTAGGCGGCGCCACGACGCGCCCCCTGCTTTGCATATTTTCTCGATTAACCTCGCCCTTTCTTTATCCGGGCGGCGTGTCGGGCGTCGCTTCAATTTCCGCGGAATTTCCTCGCCCTCCCCTCTGCTTTTCCCATCCCCCTCGAGCATTTATCCAAGGAATCGT